ACCCTGATGACAAACAATTTCACAAGCTGTCAGCACATTGAAATTATTCTATGAGAATATTTCATTCATTCAGATCTAGGACCGTTACTTTTTTGAGCAGTTGTCACAACTTGGCTAATATAGCATAAAGTTAGCCAAGACTTAATGCTAAACCATGTTCTTGCTCAATTTTTATTATGTTTGGCTTATCTTTGGCTTGTATGAACAAGCTACTTCACTTTAAGTTTCTCCTCATGTGTTCTGCTTTGAGAAGGTTTAGATATGAGACTTATGCTGCGTTCACACCGAACGCGATTTCAGCTTCAAAATCGCAGCCACCGCTGAAGTTGGTTGCTTGTGCACTTTGAGGTCAGATGCAGGTCAGCTCTTGAAGCGCTGCACGGCAAGAGCGCCCCCGCCCCTCCCTCCTCTGTCCGGCTCTGTTTAATGTCGGACGAGGAAGTGGCTTTGCTTTATTTACAGAGCAAGAGCATGACACGTTCATCAGATAATTAATTCATAATTAATTCACCAGATAATTCAGAGTAGAGACTCACAGCTCGCTTTCAGGACTATTTTTCCAGTCTGATGAGTCGCTGCCATGCATTGGTGAGGATATCTCCTGTCTGGACACCGACTCTAGGCACTCGATTTCAGCTAATGAGCTCCTCTCCGTCTGTTTCAGGTTAGTGGACATCATTCAGTAAACTGTCCCGTCAGGAAATATGTCGCTACTTCCCACAGTGGAGTCTCTCTGATTGGTTGACGCGGCGCGTCGAGCTTCAAAAATTCAGATTTTCTAACTTCAGCGATTTGCGTCTCAGCGCGTCGAACGCTCAGATTGTTCAAATCATTCAAATCGCTGCTCTAATCACGCTTGAGGCGCTGCAGCACTTCCCGTCGTTGCTTGAAGCGCGTCCATCATAGACTTTGCATGTAAACCTGATGCTCCTGATGCTGAAATCGCTTTCGGTGTGAACACACCATTACGGTGTTGTTTTCTCCTTCACTCCTGTTTGTTCTCCAAAATCCGCCTCCTGAAGCCCTTCCGGCTGCCGCATTACTATGACGTCGAGTCGTRGACAGGGTGGACCCACTACGAGAGGTCAGCTGCGGGGAGGTGACAAGCTGTGCCACAGGCCACCCTATTGTTTTGCATTGGGGACTTACTGCGCATGTCCAAAATCTTACAATGACTTGTCTATGACTGTGTCCAAAACGGTGGGCCGGGTCCTCCGAAGGCCAAATTCGTCTGCCGCATACGTCACAGCGCCACGGCGAAGGCCGTCCAAACCCGAAGATTCCGTCGATGTGGTCGACAAATGCATCCTTCCTTTGGCCTGAATTGAAGGACTGGTCGGATGGATCCTTTCCGGTCCATCATATCCCATAACGCATTGTAGCCCGACCAGAGATTTTGTTATGCTTGTAATGGCGGACAAAATGAGAGAAAAGAATACATTTTAAATAAAAATATGGCGATATAAAAATTAAAGTAGTCTACCGGTTGTAATTTTAATACTTTTATCATTTGTATAGATGTGTTTTTAAATATTATTTTTGTCATAAAAACACGAAATAAACATGCACCTGTGGCAGGGTCACTTAGTTCTTCAAATATTAA